ACCCTCTTCCTTATACACACTCAATACATTCTGGCATATTGCTCATAGCCATTTGTAATTTTATCACTGCAATGGCTCTGAGCATGCGGGCGGAGCCCGCCATTGGTGATTTCATCACTGCAATGGCTCTTAGAAGGCGGGCGAAGCCCGCCAATGGTGATTTCATCACTGCAATGGCTCTTAGCAGGCGGGCAGAGCCCGCCATTGGTGATTTTTTTCATCGCTGCAAGGGCTCCTAGCAGGCGGGCGGAGCCCGCCAACTGCGCTTTACCCACTGCGGTTCAATATGGACAAACCATATTACCCTTGTGCATCATATGCTGTGCACGTCTATTTCCCAGATTTCAGCACAAGTGGCACACAGCTCTCTTTGCCCATGACCTAGCCCTCTTTCCTTCCCTCAGCAGCCCTCAAAGGCGTAAGCAGTTGGTCTGGGGAGCCCCAACGTCACTTGCCAGGGCCGTACTGGCACAGTTACCCAGACGGGCAGTAGGTGGCCCCCCTCAAAATTTCTTTAGAAATTTTCTAGTTTTGTAATTAGTATTGTTGTTTCTGTGATACCAATTTAAGGTCATTTGATTGTACACTATACAGTAGCATATGTCACTATGTATTGTTTCTTAGTGTTGAGTCTATAAAATACCACAATCTGAGGAGAAATGTATACTTTTTCTTTTTCTCTGCTAACATTATTTCTACATACTGAATCAATCTTCAGTTACTTATTCCTTAAATAACCTTTCATACTTGACACTTTATCCACTTCCTCAATGACCTCTTGTTAATTTTTCTTGAATTAAAATATGTTGAAATGGTGCTACTCTTACCTGTGTATAACTTTTGGTAATTGACCCACCTCTGACTATGGCTCTTGATTCTTCACACATATTAAGGGGATTTGGTTACAGAGTTGTTCCTTTTACTCTGCTGATTTTGCAGGACAAAGTATTTGGAGGTAGATTAATTGCCAGCATAAAGGTAAAAAGATAGGAATGCTTATTATTTGTATGCAAATAACACAAAGCACCTAGAATTAAACCCTGGGGAACACCCTCTTCGTTTGTAGTTAGGGCTGAGGGAGAACCATCTACCTTAATTGGCTGGGTTCTACCAATGAGGTAATTTAAATTCAAGGCTTTAATGATATATTTACCAATATGAGAGGAGAGTCACACTGTTAGATAATATTTAAAATTAACGATATTGCATGAATAAAACTTAATTGGAATAAGTTATTCAGTTCTTACAATACTGCAGGCATTTAGTTTGGTAAGCAAAAATAGCAGACTTTAACCTTTTGAATGGTGTCTAGCATAGACCATCCTCCATTCCATGGCTTTGTAGACTTCCTCATGCAGTTGAGACTAGCCATACTGTGCCATTTTCTGTCCTCCAGTTTCCTATAGAAGGCGTTTGCCAGCATCAAAACACTGTCATACAGGTAGAGATTGGACACCTGTTGGAGAGAGAGAAGCATTCATTTAAAGGAAAGCAACTCCATAGCACACAAAAGATTCAACAAAGACACAAGATTGTATTTTTCTTTTCTGAGCGCCAGGAGACAACCCCTGTGAAGTTCACCCTTCTGAGTGTAGCAAAGTAAGGGAGAGCTCCTGTCCTTCAGTCGGGCTGCAAATTGCAAAGCAGAATTTAATATTTTTCAGGGATGAATAAAAACATGTCTTCTCACTTGAAAGTTTGTGAAGATTTTTCTTCTTTTCACAAAACCAAGCTTTTCTTATTCATGACAGTCCAATATTACTATTTTAAACGTAGTCCCAGGTCAGTCACTAAGGTTTATTTACTGGTCAGGCCCACAAGGTTGCAATGTCCTTGCCAGTAAAAAGTCTTGCATAATAAAATAACAATGTTGTACTGGTGTTGTCTGTGTGATATGGTTAAGTTTACTCATCTTATTGGATTTTTCTACTGCCATTTGTTCGGCATTGGCAGTGGATCCTTCTCTGAATCAGTCAAGGCGTGAATATTGATTTAGCACTGAAGGTATTCTAAATCAAGTCAAAGCCAAATGTTCCACAGAAAATCATCCTTGAGAGGTGTTTGTGCTACTACCCTGGCAGTCAGTTCATGACATTTCATGAGTTCTTTCTCAAAGCCAAGTGGCGACTGACCCATTGGGGGCTCTTTGGCACTGTCCTCTCTGAAAAGAGAGGAGGAAATTGTGGCTCACTGGCTGCGGAATAGCCAATGCACGTTTTTCCTGCATACTTTTTTATGTGATTTAACATGGATGCAGTAAAGAATTGACAGTTCATATGAAAAACTGTGCAAAGCTAGCTGTGGTTCCAAAGATTAGAAGCACAGCTGGATGATGGGTAGCATCCAGGCTATCAGGTAAGTTAGCACCTATGAAGAGTTTTGTCCAAATGTTCATTCTCTTTTGAAAAGACTGTGAAGCCTTTGATGTAATTATAAACCTAGGTAACCTTCAGATTAAACTTAAATCTTTCAATACAGAGAGTTGTAATTTGATACAATGTTAACATATATCTGTTAGCCTATTTTTAATGATAAGATTTAAAGTTAATATATTATTCCTGTATTATAAAAGAAACTGTTCCACTTCACTAGTTGAGGGTCAGGAGTAACGGGGGCCAGGTTTAGGAGCCATCCACAAAGAGACAGAGGGTATTGGTAGAAGATGGACAAAGTATCTGACTCTGGATATAAACACTTACAGCTGCCACCTAGTACAGTGATTCTCTACAACTTGTTTTAAAACATTCTAGAATATTTTCTAAACCCTGAGAGGTATTCTACATTTTACTTCAGGTTTCCACATTCATATATAATATTATTCCTATATTCCTATAAGTACGTTAGGCAACATCATTATTTGCCAAGCAAAATGGAGATTTTCCGTTAGCAGGCACTTGATCAGTGCAACTCTGCTGCAAGGAGACTTCTCACAACAAAACAAGAAGTTCCCAGATTCAACACTAAAGCCTATCCCTCACCAGACAAGGCCAAACTTAAAACAGAGCTGTCCTTGATCTACAGCAATGAAGAGCTGCAGTGGTGCATTCAATATCTTTCAGGTTTTGATGGAGAATAACCCTCAAGACAAAGAGACTGTAAGTCCTCCCAACATTTTCACTACTACACCAATAAGAAAGTGTCAGAGAGCTGCTTCTCAACTCTAAAAACATGGAACATACAGTACTTGATTTTAACGTCTGAGTCATAGAAACATTTGCACCTCTAAAAGACAGATGAGCAAAGTACTGTACAAATAAGAAATATCAACCCCCTCAACTGATTCATCATATTACACTCGCCTTGGAACACAAACATAAACATTTTTCTTTCATTCACTTGCACACTGTTGATTTTTTAGAGATTTGGTTGATAATACCATTCATATTGCTTATTGTATTTAATACCTGTTCTTTCTACCTGGAGCATCATGGTGCATTACACAATTGAAAAATTCTCAATCATCTGTTTTATTGCACATTTTAAGAAGAAGATAAAATAATTTCTCATCAAATGTACTTGTCGTCTCACTGTTGAATCCATTTCTTATTTTGGAATAACAAGAGAAATATATTTTCACATCAGTTCAGCCTAGAATATTTTGCACAAGCTGCATCGGTCCAAGCCACAGGAAATTCCCCAGATCAGCTTCCTTTGCCTTCAGGTCTGTGACTCAGGAGCTGATTCCAGGTGAAACTCAGTTCAGCACACCAAAGGTCACAGCGGCACTATTTGGCTCTAAATGGGGTTTGAACTGCCATATATTTAATTTGCTAAACTATTTAGACTAATGATTATATAGCCCATTCCTGATAGGTTTAACCTCGTTTATATGAATTATTGAAGATCTTGGATACACACATGAGTTTGCCATCTGTGTGGAAACTTACTGGAACATTAACATTTCACTACAGCCATAGGGAAACTACCATTTCTATAGTGATTGCTTGAGTCAAACAAAAATCAAAACAGTTAAGATGGAAAAACAGACCTTTAAGCACCTTATAGAGAACAGTTCAAGACCCATCTTCAGCACAATCTTGCAATTTCTTACAGGACTTTAATGGGATAAGTGTTTGGAACAAGACATTAACCAAATACTTTGCACATTTTGGGAACATCCTGGTTAAAATGGGATGACTGGTAATTATATAAACATAGGAATTTACTTTGCTGCATTAAACGTTGCTTTCCGATTTTTTATTCAACTTGGAGTGTACGGATTATGCTGAATACAACAAATCACTGGATACTAATTATACAAACTTTCAGTGGAAAGAAGAGTAAATTAATGTCTTTAGACTCATAAAACCTCACATTACAGAAGTGAGATGAGGTGGACTTCCTAGCCGAGCTTATGTCAGTACTTAGTTGGCGAATGAGTAAGAAATATTTAATTTAAAAGACAAAAATAAATCTTTTATGAGAGTTTCCTAACTTAATGTTAGTGGCTCTTTCAAGTTTCATGATATACTAATTTTGAGGTGTTTTGGATTTTAACTTTAGTGAAACATTAATTAAAACCTGCTTTCATAGTATAAGATAATAATTTACTTAGTTATGCCAGTAATTCCCAAGAAACATTGCTGCAGTCATTTGTATTCATAGGCATCCATGTCTCTCATAATTATCTTGCCAAGGGAGTTTAATATACATTCAGTTGCATACATAATCAGTTCATATTTGTAATTTTCCGACAGTCAGCAGATGCTCAGTCGCTGAATGCTTGTACTGTATTCAAATAGGAATCAAAGCCTAAAAATATGTACGTAATTAAACCTAAATCATTCAAGAAATAAACTCACTGCTCCTATTTATTGCTGTTTCTACTCACCGTGAAAAAGTTAACAAACCACTAGCATGCTTTGCAAACTTCTCTCTTGAATATAACAATAATAACAACAATATTCTATGTAGAAATTTGTAGGCTATGGTTTTGCTTTGGAAATAAATTGCTTTCAATTATAATAAAAATTGTCATATTATTTTTATGTAATTTAAGGATATTTCTAAATTGGTATTTTCATTTGTTAAAAATTTGACTTTTGCCAGTTTATATATGTTTTTATTTGTTGATGATTATTTTTCATGTTCATGTTTTGGGATAAGAAACTATAAGGTTTTTAGAAATTGCAGGAAGATTAGGCCATGGGGACAGATTAAACAATAGAATTAGTGACAGGGCTTTAGGGTGAAGGAATTTAGAGAATTTGCATGGCGGGCCTAACTGCTTAATTTTCTACCAAACTTGATCTCTTTAATTGAAATAAAAATGGTAATTTTGGGGTATTGAGCCAGAAGGTTTTAAAAACAAGCAGTTATTAAACTGAAATCAGTTATTTTCTGTCAGCTGACGTACTTTCCAATAGCATTTATATCTTAAACATTTGAAAAAAACTTTAAATAGGGCCAAGCCTCAGTGTTTTTAATGTATATGTATGTGATAAAGTTCATAATTCAGGTCGGGAATTAAATAATATATACTGATACATGAATTTTAAATAACTATACCAGAAAAATTGTGATCTACATCTCTACATAGCCCCCATCCCTATGAATTTCTGTAAAATTCAGTGCCATACGGGTAGTGTCTGGCACAGCAGTAGCGCAGGCGCCCCATAGATATAGCTTATGTTCCCTAACACAGCTTTAACATTGCTGACTTTTGACCAGGTTGCAATCTTTCCTCCCCTAATTTCCTCTCTGAATACTCTCAATAAAGGCAACTGACTCCCCCTCAACAACATTTGTGAAGAAAAAACCTGATGAAGTTAATGTATATTTCAATTAAATTCAAACTGAACAACTGAACCCAACTGATGGACTTGGATATAAGCAAAGTTAGGATAACCTAACCCAGGGGTCGGCAACCCGAACTGCTCAAAGAGCCATATTGGACCAAAAAAACACTTAACAAATCTGTCTGGAGCCGCAAAAATGTAAAAGTCTTATATAAGCACGGGCTCTAAGTGTATTTACCCACTATAAAAAAGGATTACATGGGCTTATATATATATTAAGCATTCATATCCTAGAGCAAATGTCACATAGTAGAGATGAGGGAGGAGCAGTGAATGCCCTCAGCGCGTGGAGTTCACTGTGCAAGTCTTCACCGCCCTTCACAACGCGGTTTAGGCTTAGTTGCATTGATGAAACAAGATAAAGAAATCTTTCTATGGTGGACGTGGTTCTGTTGCGAGGAGCTGATTGAGTCATAAGGAAACAAGCAGGAACTGACATCCATTAGAGCGTTATTTTTATATTGAGGATTTGGGTAAAAAATTTAAGAAAGTTCCCATATCTGCAGAAGAAAACTACTTGTTGGATCTGTGGACAGTTTTACATGTTTGCAACAAAACTAGCAGCAGTAGTGGAGTTTGGAGATGCTACCCAAATCTTAAATCTATCTTTGCGTTCCTCTATCCTGAAGTTCTGCAATCGCACATTTTCTCTTCCTCCTAACTTGGTGGTCGGCAGCAAATTTAGCATGCCTTCCCTGAAAATGCCTTTCCAAATTACTCTTTTTATTTTTGACAGCCTTTCATTACAAAGCAAAATTGCAGGCAATCCTTCCGTGTTAATTGATAAATAATTCAAATATTTGTTCCATTGTTATTTAGATAGCAAAAGGTTCCTTAAAGAACACCTTTTACGAAATGAAACAAGGTGAATCTAAAACTTTTCTACTTGAGGAGTTCTGGATAGAGCATACGTGTAGACACACAAAAAAGATTTTCTTTATGTTAAATGCAAAACGTTTATATATCTTTGTACAGTTTCAGTATAATTGACGATTATTTCAATAATCAATTAATCACAATTAATTGTTTAAACCCTAGCCACAACTGAAAGAAAAGACTGCAAAACACTCAACAATTAGGTAAAAGTTTACGTTCCAGCAGGACCCTATGCAAAAAGCTACTGTTACTAAATGAAATAGGACAAAGCATATATTTCTAAATGACCAAGTAATGGTCCATACTTAAATCTGTGGCATACCTAAGAAACTGAATAAGAAATCTGAATAAGATGAAAAAAATTAAGGTCAGAAGATCTGAAAAACTGACACATACTACAAAAAACCTAATTTGCTGTGAAAGGACAGACCCAGATAATCAAAAATACAAAGATCACAAGAACAACACAATGATCTTGTTATTGTGTTATATTTTTTCCAATCTATCAAATAAAAAAACTACATGTACCTGTTTAGTAGTCAGATGCCATAGTCATACGTTTCTAAATTGTACATATCATTTTTATTTCATCTTTAATTTACCTCCAGTGACTGCAGGTAGCCTTCTTGTGGGTCACACAGGAGGGATGAAATACGATGATTGTTCCTCATGCAGCGAACATTGGTGTCCCTCCACTGTGGAAAGACCTGACGAATGATAGTCATCCGCCCCAGCGAGCTGTGAATCAGCTCCATTATGTCTGCATCGCTCACCTCCTGAAAATGGACATGACAGAGATGTTTTATTTTCATTTGCTTTGACTTGAGACAGTAACAGTTTCAGCCAAAAACTATCAGACTGGGATTGTTAGACAGAGAGTGACCATGACCCTTTAGAAGATATTTAAGAACAATGCAGATAATGAAATGAAATAGCACCATCGGCTAACATATCAACTTCACTTTTTTTTTTTTTACATTAAAATATCTTTCATGTTTCTTCATTAAAATTTCTCTCACCAACTAATCTCTATTGAGTTATTTCTTTAATCTAAATTTGTTTAATGCTTTTCCAATAATAGTGACAACAGGTGACTTCCTGTTTCATTTCTTGGTGGTTTAGGGTTGTACTGAGGGTTACATCCATATTCATGAGACACAGCCTGCTGCCTTTGCTTGCTATTCTCCAGAGCAGTCAATGCTGAGGCAGACAGCAAGTCTCATGAGAAACAGGATTCATATACTACCTGGCAATGCTGAGAGGTTACTGTCAGGTCAAAACTCAAGCAGCTTATATTCCTGACCACACATACTTGAAAACATGCCCCCAGTCCTTGTTCGTAGTTGGGTGCTGATCCGTGGGATGACCTGAAGACGGCTGTGGAAAAGAGGCTGGCAACGTTTGGAAGGTACAGTGGAGAGATATTATTAAGTCTTTTTTTTAAATGTTGATTGACTCCTTCCCAAGAAGCTGATACTAAATTTGAATCAAAAGCTGGTTTCATATAGGAGGATATTATAGTAGTAAATTCTTATGCAATCAGACTTTTTTTCATTCATTTTTTTCCCTGTGAATTTATGTTTTTTTTTTGTTGATTTTTACAATGTAAATGTCACAGTAAACATGAAAATGTTTCAAGATTAGTTATCACGGCTTTAACTTTTTACTTGACAAAACCTCAAAACCTGATACTTTAAATTTGATACAGATTTAAATGTTTATTATCCAAATTTGAATTCCAGTCTTTTCTTTTTTTTCTTAAAACTTTGATTCACCTTCTATTCAGTGATTTTTCTCTGTTAGTTGAGAAGGGGCAAAAAAAGTTATGACTTCCTTAGTTTTTCTCATCATTGTCGTCATTGCACAGTATGAGATAAAGACTCCTCAGGAGGTTTTGTTCTCATCTATTTTTTTTCCACTGACTCTTCAAGTCCAGTCAGGTGGAAAGCATGAATATTCATGAGTTTCTGCGACACATTAATCAGACAAATTATGTCGCTTGGCTCACCGAGCTGAACCCCTATGTCCAAGTTAATAACCGATAGTGCCATCCAGTCCAGTGTTCTGTCATAATCCTTGGTGACATTTATATCAGAACTTGACCCAGTAATAAGACTGACCAACAGAATACAGGCCTGAAAACATGCAACATCCATCTTGCATGTAAGAAAAAAACACATTATAGACCTCCTTTGAAAAATGCTCCAGGTATGAGCACCGCTGTAGTACCAGTGTCTGTATTGTTCATTTTAAATTACTCAGTTATTTTAAGGATTCATACATGGTCTACAAGACATGGGGACCACTTTATAGATCATTAAACTTCATATTTTACAGTGCAAAGCTAAACAGCTAATGAGACAAATAACATTATTTTTGACACATGCAGATTAAACACAAGCTGCAGCTGAAAATTACAATTATCACCTAATTGCATCAGTTGAGCAGCTCAGATTGCTGAGAGCACCAATACAGAACAGTCATGTCTCAATGACAGCTGATTACAAAAATACATTAATCAAATCAAGTTTGGCTGACAGACAGGCTAAATTATCCTCCTTTTGCTGCTTATTTCATGCTGTTAATCTTTTATGAGCAATAAAGAAAAGAATACTGGTAATAATGGCAGTCTGTTAATTAAACGCTGTGGTATCTTTTTAAACTGCACACAGCTGAGCTGAGAGGCAGAGGGTTTAAAAAAACAAAATAAAAACACAACAACATTGTGTTTACCCACATGGAAAGAACCTATATGAGGATATATGCGCATATATGAAACCTATATGCGTCATATATGTGCATATATATTATCATGTATGCACATATATGCTGTATATATGCGCATATAGGTTTCATATATGCGCATATATACAGCATATATGTGCATACATGATAATATATATGCACATATATGCTGCATATAGGCTAGATTGAGGTGCATATATGTGCATATATTTGCATATATATGTACATATATGCTGCATATAGGCTAGATTGAGGTGCATATATGCAAATATGATTATATATATATGCATATATATGCTGCATATAGGCTAAATTGAGGGGCATATATCCACATATATGATAATATATATGCATTTATATGCTGGATATGCAAAATTGAGGTGCATATACAGGCCATAGGTCTCCGGTATTGCCTCTTTATATTCACATATAAGCCCTATACAGTATGTGTATGCAAGATGTTGACAGGATCTGGTCATTTTGTAGCTCATATCTCACTTTGGCAACTGTCATACATGATGACTAGCTAATTTACTATAATCAAGGCAAAAATTATGCAAGGACTTATGTATGTGCGAACACATGAAATTGGTATCTCTTGTAATTGGCATGTTATGGAATTTAACAATTGTGAGAAAAGTGAGAGGAAATGGAAAGCTATGATGTCTACATGTTTTCCTGAAACATTTACTAGGTCAATTCTTCTGTAAAGATAGTGGAAAAGAAGAGAATGTATAGCAAAACGGTTTGTCATTTTTTTATTTTGTAAATCAAGGGCCCGCCCCCCCCATTTCAAGTCACTTCCAGATTCACATTACAGCTCACACATATCCACAAATTCACCATTACATCCACCAAATGCAATGCAAAATGAAATGTTTTCTGTATTGTTTTGATGCATTTTATAGATGAATTTTGCAGAAAGGTCATTAGAGTCTAAATGTATGACAAAAAAAGAAAGTACATAGAACATACATTCAAGTAATCATCATCCCACATCTATCTGAGCATTTCACTGTGGTTAATGAATTTGAAGACAATGTCAACATTTCTGTTCACAGTTTTAATGAACAGACACTTTTCTTTTATCTGAGATGCTTGTACAGCAACTAAAGGCCCAATACTTTTTCTTACAAGGATGAAATAACAAGGATTCTTAAATTGACTGCAGATGTCTTGTTTCACTTTTTGGTAGTACTTCCCCACTGCATAACATGTCTCCCCCTGCCCCAGATCACAGACAATAAATGTCTTCACAGAGAAAATACTTTCCTCTTGATCAGAAAGAATTACAGTGTAATTCTCTTCAGGTGGCCATACAGACTGTCTGTGGGTGTGACTCTGAATAGGCACACCCAAAATCCTGTTGGTATTTTTTCTCTCTTTCTCTGAAGCAATTCTTTTGTTGATTTAGATGGACTGTGATTCTGAGAAATTAGGCAACATCTTCAGTTTCAGCTACATTTAGAATTTAACTGTCTATGAAAAACAGTGAGGCCATAAGTAACCAAATACAATACCTAACCAAATACAATAAACTCCATCCATGTTTAAATATAATTTATGAATTTTAATGAGAGAGGGTTATGCTGAACAGCTTTAGGAATTTTTGTTGAACTTTAAGTTGGTTTTCTCAGACCACAACATATTGTTCAAGAAAATAGAGGAGATGGTCGTCACATTAGAGTGCAAGCTTTTCAGAAAACTGTGCAGTCTGTTATCTTCGATGTTCGCTGATTGGTTGTCTCCATGACCAATGGTCTTTTCAGTTATAATTAAAATCCCACCCTGTAACCTCTAATTGTTTTATCCTTCTTCTGTTTGATATTTTTATACCAAAACTTTGCAGAAAAATCCTTTGCAACCTCTGTGTACTATAGTTTTTGTTAAATCATGCAAATCTCAGAAAAATCCTACAGCATCTCTTATCCGTTACTAGAAAATATGAACTTCAACCAGTTTCCAATCAGAAAGAATTACAGTGTATGAGTTTCTCCGAAAAGTCAGCGAGTAGTTTTGTGAATGAACTATTTCAGCATTAACAACTACTCTGCTAAAATACTTCACAGTGACTATATTTTCAAGGTTGCTGATGCTATTCAATGCCAGAAAATCATCATTTCTGATCATACAAATCTTAGGCCTACCCAGAGATGTAACACCATGAGAGCGACTTACTTCCCGCACCATTTTTTTCTCAACTGAAAAAGACTCTAAGAGAGCTAAGTAATCATCAGAAGCTGCCACCATGTTTTTTTGGGAAAATGATGGAAATGCAACCTGTAGCCAAACTGTTTTCATTATCTGCAGAGAAACTCCCTGGCTGCTCTTTATCATATCTAAAAGGATCCCATTGTATGACTCAAACACAAATGCAGACTGTGCCCAGAGGGGACCCCAGTTTCTCACAGTATTGGGCAGATGAAGGCACAAATGTACATTGAAAGTGACATTATTGATCCCATAAAGGGTCTCCATTTCCTGAACAAACTCTGTTAGCAACCCCTCAGATTCTGATAAGTGCAGTGTTGATATATTCTCACCAAGTAGAAGAGAAACCCCCTTTACCAACTTAAACCAGTGCTTCAGATATTTTTCAGGCAAGACCTCTTTCAATGTTGGTATGCTGTAATAAAACAACCACATGCTCCACTCGTGTGCCTTCCAGAACTTTTTCTCTTTCACTGAGCGGGGAACACGGGAAACATTACAGGGGGGTTTAATAGAAGTTAAAATGTCATCAATCTGTTCTGTTGAGCGTCCGATATACCATGGTGATTGGTGGTTTTCAGAATTAAACCACAGAGTGGTGATGCTTCTTGCTACACCCAGCAGCACACTGTGCATATAATCTGGAACACAGCCATCAATGATATTAAAATCAGGTAGGCAAGACAAAATGCTAGGCCCTTTCACTCCCTTAGTGGGGTTTCCAGCAATCGCTTCTTCCACCAGATCATCAGTCTGGGAGGGATTCCTCAAATCTGTTTTTTCATAGAGATATGCCCTTACACGTCCCCTGCGTTTTAAC